GCGGGGCGGCGGCGCCCGGAAGTGACGCGTTGCCGCTGCCGGGCGCTGCCGTCGGAGCGGAGGCGAGTGAGGCGGCGGCGACCGCGGGCCGGGCCCTGGCGCGGCCTGGCCAACCCCGCCCGCAGGTGAGCCGGGACCGCCCCGCCGCGCCCAACCCTGCCCTCCCCTCCCCTCCCCGCTGGACCGCAGCGCTCCGCCCGCCCCGCTCGCGGTAGCGGTTCCTGTGCCTGTTTGCTGTGCGGCGGGGGCCGCCGTATCCCCGCTCGGTGTGCGGGATGGATGGATGGATGGATGGATGGTTGGTTGGGTGGATGCGTGGATGGGGGCGGCCTCGAGCACCCGCCGCCCCCCCCCGGGGAGATACTGGTGAAGACGGAGGGGCGGCGGGAGGGTGTCCGCCCCGTCCCGGGGTACCGGCGGGGCGGCCGGTGCTCAGGCGCTGAGCATCCCCCTCCTGGGAGCGGCTGCGGGGCGGAAAGGCGCTTTGGGCCGGAGCTCTCAGCGCAGGGTGCAGCAGGCGCCCCGCTTCATAACCATAGCGGTTCTGCGGCTGCAAATGGTTCCTTGTACTTCTTCTTTTTTATTTTTTCTTCCGCGCCGCGGCGGGGGGGTCTGTGACCGGGGGGATCTGTGACCGGGGGGTGTTGGGAACTGAAGTCAGCTCCGCGCTGAGGCCGGGCGCTGATGAAGGTTTCTGCCGTCTGGGGAGTGACAAAACCGGGCGGGCCGCTTGCCGCCCCCCCCCGCTCCGCGGCCCGAGGGAGGAACCGGCCGGTGCTTAAATACCGCCCTCGGACAGTGCTTAAATACCGCCCTCACCGGGAAAGCGCCCGGGGCTCTGCCTGCTCCTTCCGCGGGACGAAAAGGCTGTGCTGTGCATCCCTTACCGGGCATCACCACGCACCACCCTTTGTGGAAGGGCAGTCCCTCAGTAAGCGAGTTTGGGTATTTACATTTCTGATTAACCTTTTTATTTCCGATAGCTCCTTCCCTGCTGTTCAAGATAAGCTTTACCCCCAGGCTGCGGGAGGGATCTGACAGGCCAGAGCCCAGGGGCAAGGTTTGGTGTGTGCTGGGAGCACAAGTGGTTGGACTGACCTTCTTATTTCAGGGCTGGTTATCCGGCTTCTGAATTCGTGCTCAACAATAAAATAAACGTGTGCAAATCTGTGGTGAGGGGGAGCAGGGCTGTGCAGGGGGTACAAGTTGGTACAAAAAGTTTTGCTTCTGCGGAATAACTTATATGTAGTTATTTATAGCTGGCTTTACAGGTTTTGCTATCTGAACTGTGACTGTTCCCTTCCCCTTCCCGGTGGTGGTACCTGGTGTTGATGGTTTCCATGTCTGTCCGAGCGAGCTGTGAGCTGAGCGCAGGCAGAAGAGGAACAGAGAGTGGTTTAGTAGCTGAACAGCTCTTCCTCCCCTCCCCCCCATATAATTTGTGCTGCAAACTTGTTATGTGGAAAATGTTGTTATCTAGAATCTTGACTTTTGCAGATATGCTTAAAATACTTTTTTAGATACATTTTTTTTTTTTCTAGTAGGGGTTTGTAATAGGAGAGGGATGAGCTTACTTATCTTTTAATGGTAAGAGGTTTTCTGTCCCTAGCTGTGAGCTTTCACTTCTCTGTCAGCGCTATTATGTTCTGTATTTAAATGCTGGCAACTAATTTTATTCTTTCAGATTAAGCACTTTGTAAGTAGGCTCGCTGCAAATTAGATGTCAGTTAAGGAGCTGTAAAAATGATGAACTTCTTAATAATAAGATAAAAGAAGCGAGATCTTCAAGTTTGTGTAGTCATTTAGCAAATCAAAATGAAATAAGCTTTTCAGTTCAGAAATGGGATGGTTGCAGTGTTCTCTGTAGAACAATAGTTCTGTTTCCTCGTGGTCCAGGATTCTGACACATTCATACCCTCCGCCCTCTCACCGGTATAATAATAATTGAGTCCTAATAAAGAACTGCAGAGCTGCTTCTCCAACAGGTAGTGGTGGGCAGCACCAGTTGAATTTTAATGATGCTGAAATTAGAGCAGGTATCACAGTGCCTTCAAGTGTCACGATGCAAACTCAAACTTCTCAGAGGAAGCATCTGAGGGTTTTGTGGAGCGGTGGGTAGGAACGAGGGTCCTTCTCTCTGCCCTTACCAGAGATGTTGGGAAGCACAGATAGCTCCCGGTGCTGGGAGGACGTGGAAATGGTGATAGACACTAGAATGGCCACCTTGGGAAGCATCTCACCAGCTCTTGCCTCTTGCTGGTGGAGGCAGGCCCAGCTCCCAGTCTTCCCAGCGTCTGATCTCTCCAGAGGGCCACGGCACAGCCTCTGGGGTTGTTCTCTCATGGTGGAAACCACATGGTGAGGTGAGGCAAGGATCTCTCCCTTCTCCTGTGCCCCTCTGCCTGCTCGGCAGGCCCCCTTTTCCTGCAAGAGTCCAGGAACCTCAGCTCCAGGCCCCCTTTTCCTGCAGGCCAGGGCCCCACTGGCTCTGTGGGTCTCTTGCCTCTTTGTGCAGAGGGAGGGACTCCACCATTCCCAGTCAGGAAGGGGGACTGGAGAGCTGGTCCCTGCTGGCTGGTGGGGCCCTGCCCGCAGCACTGGGTGCAGGGGTAGCACTAGGCAGGCTGCAAGGCGAGTAGCACAAAGTAGTTTAAGAACTTTTAAAACTATGTCTCAAATAATCCAGTTCTTTATTTATCTCTGTTTTTATTTCAGTCACTGTTCATTTCTCTCAAACGTCTCATTAGAATCCTATCATGTATGCAGCGCTTCAGATAATATGCATTTTACTCCAGAACAGAAAAAAAACAGGGTGGTGGTTATTGGCTTTTTTTTTAAATCAAAGATGAATATAACATGCACTATTAATAAACATTTGATTGTCCCTGGTTTTAACTTGCATGAAAAAGCATAGCACGTAGGGATTGAAAAAGTAAATTGGAAAGTAATAAACCCTAATTAAGATAAAAGCGAAAATGGAAAAAATATTTTTTTTTTTTTAAAAATGTTCTGTATGGCATGTCTGGGTACCATGAGTAAGGAAGCTGTTGAAATGGAGCCCTGAGTAATGCGTTAAAAATTCTGTTTGTCACAGATGGACCAGTCGTCTCCAACCTACATGCTTGCCAACCTAACCCACTTGCATTCTGAGCAGCTCCTGCAAGGCCTGAACCTCCTTCGCCAGCACCACGAGCTCTGCGACATCATCCTGAGGATCGGCGATGTCAAGATCCACGCCCACAAAGTGGTGCTCGCCAGCATCAGCCCCTACTTCAAAGCCATGTTCACCGGGAACCTCTCGGAGAAGGAGAACTCAGAGGTGGAGTTCCAGTGCATCGACGAGGCGGCGCTGCAGGCCATCGTGGAGTACGCCTACACCGGCACCGTCTTCATCTCCCAGGACACTGTCGAGTCGCTCCTCCCGGCTGCCAATCTGCTCCAGATCAAGCTGGTAGTCAAGGAGTGCTGTGCGTTTCTGGAAAGCCAGCTGGACCCTGGCAACTGCATCGGGATTTCTCGGTTCGCGGAGACCTACGGCTGCCACGACCTCTACTTGGCTGCCAACAAGTACATTTGCCAGAACTTCGAAGACGTTTGCCAGACGGAAGAGTTTTTTGAGCTTACGCATTCTGAATTGGATGAAATTGTTTCCAATGACTGCTTGAACGTGGTGACAGAGGAAACAGTCTTTTATGCTCTGGAGTCCTGGATCAAGTACGACGTGCAGGAGCGGCAGAAGTACCTGGCGCAGCTGCTGCACTGCGTTCGCCTGCCACTGCTGAGCGTTAAGTTTCTCACCAGGTTGTACGAAGCAAACCATCTCATTCGTGATGACCACACTTGCAAACATCTGCTCAATGAGGCCCTAAAGTACCACTTCATGCCTGAGCACAGACTCTCCCACCAGACCATGCTGATGACACGGCCTCGCTGTGCTCCCAAGGTTCTGTGTGCCGTAGGAGGGAAAGCCGGACTGTTTGCGTGCCTGGAAAGGTGAGTGACAGGGGAAGTTGTTGCAGCACCTGGCTGGTGTGGTGTGAGGCTGGTGTGGTGTGAGGTTGGTGTGATGGTGAGGCTGGTGCGTGTTTGGCATCACCCTGGGGCCTGGTGTGGTGTGAGGCTGGTGTGGTGTGAGACTGGTTCGTGTTTGGTATCACCCTGGGGTGGGATTAAGATAATCCTGTGCTTTGCAGGACAGTAGTTGCTGCTCTCCTGCATCAGACCTCAGAAGCAGGTGTTTGGCAGGACAGTAGTTGCTGCTCTCCTGCATCAAACCTCAGAAACAGGTGTTGTTTTTTTTTTTTAGCAGGGATGAGCAGTGAATTCAAAATGCTTTTTGACTTCATGAGTAATCTTCAGCGTTAGGGAGTTTTGCTTGTGCCAACAGAAATAGCTATAATATCGTTTTCATTCTGTCCATTGAGAATTTGGGTAATAAAAGTGAGTAGTAGAAGTTTGTATGCTGCTACCGTATCCTTTCAGGTCACAGAATTATAGAACAGTTTGAGTGGGAAGGGCCCTTAAAGCCCATCCAGTCCCACCCCCTGCCCTGGGCAGGGACACCTCCCACTAGAGCAGGTTGCTCAAAGCCCTGTCCAGCCTGGCCTTGAACCCCTCCAGAGGTGGGGCAGGTCTTTTCACTTTACATGTTTTTTCCCCGATTTATTGTTACTCCAGACCATAAAATCATAAAAATTAACCTAGAGTATGACAAATGCGCTTCCTGATAACTGAAAAGTCCTTGGAATTAAAGTAGAC